AAACCCTAAACCCTAAACCTCTAGGTAGGGCTTAGTGTGTTGCGGTGAAGGCTGAGGGCGACCAAGGCTTCGGTTTGAGGTTTCGATCACAGGCTTTGAATTTAATGTAGGGGCCGTAATAATTAGAAGAGGGCTCCTTTAAAGGGCTCCTTAAAGGGTTCGATAAGGGCTACTATAAGGGTTTAGGGTGTAGGGGCCGGAATAATTGGCGTAGGGTTTTGGGGTATATTAGACTACAACTTTAATCAGAAACCCCCAGAAGTCGTCTCGGTAGTTATTACGGCCCCTAAGTTAAAGGGATTTGGGATCGTCGGTTCTTCAGGTTTTTGTTTTGCTTGCCTACCTTTGTGGACGTAGGTCCCACGAGACCATCCTTGTCATGGTTTTGTGTACTTCATGCCATCATAGTAATACATGTTCTTGTGTATGTATAAACAAATAATAATACATATATATATATATATACATATGAAAATGGACCCTCTTGGTAGTAGGAACGCTCCTGAAGTACGGCACTGTGAGTTTAGGTAAATGGCAACTGCAAGCACAGTAAACCCCACATGATCAACCCTAAACCCTAATCCCACATACCCTAAACCCTAAACCCCACACCCTATAAACCTTTCTTCTAGGATTGCCTTGCCTGGGGTGTGGGGTTCAAGGCTTAGGTTATGTCGGATTTAGGGTTTAGGTTCAGGGCATCATGAGGTAAAATCGCGGCCTTGACAACTAGATCGGGTTTGGGGGTGCATCGTACTATAGCTTGAGCCCCAATTCTCGGGCCTTTACAAGTAGAGAAGGTTTTCTGGTGGTATATTGCACTAGACTTCGAACACAAATAAAGGGGCCTTCATAGCCAGCAGAATAATAATCATATACTCTCCCAAATTTTAATCTTGATAGCTACTATCCGCAACCAAAGTACCTGATTACCATTAGGGGAATATCACAAAGTATAGCCGTCAGGCATGACACTAGTTTATATACCCAAGCCGTTACAAAATCCCCTGGACCGCAAACCCCAAAACCCTAAACCGCATTACACCATATTATCTTAGACCATACTATACCGTATTGTGTTATATTACACTAATCGATTGTATAAAAAACATATAATTCTAGATCACACTATATTATATGCACCTGCTCAGGCTCCGATATTACCGGGCTCTAGGCGACACTCCCACGACACCCTCCGTACATCGAGGAGACGGAGGAGTGCAAGAGCTTGGTATCTAGGGGTGCCTAAAGTTGGGCTGAGGGCTTCGGGTTTAGGGCTTACGGCTGCCTACGATAGAACTCTGACCCTGAGCGCTCCTTCATAAAGTTCCGGGAAAATGCGCACCAAAACCCTGACAAAGTTCTTAAGGACTCTACATTGTTGGACAGTGTTGTCATGCAGGACGCCGGTTCGGAGGGCTTCGACGCTCAAGGCTTTCCAATCCGTGTTGCTTCTTTTGAAACTCTGCGGGACCCCTCTTGTCGACATGCGTTGAATTTGAACAGCCTCTCCGGGCGGAGGGTGAACCTGGTATCCCGAAGTACCTATAATATAGAATAGAGACGAAGACAGCGAGTGAAAGAGCCAAGTCCCCTAAACCTGGATGCCAATCCCAAAGTCCTAAATTCCCCAATCCAAAGCTCTCGCTCTGAGACTTCTTTCCTCCCAACTCCACGAGTAAAATAAAGATGTCCCTCGATAAGGGTCCCTGTTTAGGGTTTAGGGTTCCTCCTTGAGAAGACTGTCATATGGACATTCTGTTCAGAATGCTGGCTGTAATGCCGTACTCGCTTAATATGAGTTGATAGATTAGGGTCTATCCCAATCCCGGCCCCATCCTCATCCCCGAATTCAAACAAAAGACTGGAACCCTCAACTCCAAACCTGAACTCCTGATCGCCTTAGAACCCCAAGTACCGTGAATCATGAACCCTGCCGGGTTTAGAGCTGTGGATTAAGTACAGCTTATAATTATAAGGTATAGCAAGTATATATCCTACA